ATTAAGAAAAGCATAGGAAGTGCATGGATTTAAATCTGCACCCTCAATTCTATTTAACTGATGATCACGTCTGTTTTTATGCCAGCACCATGCTGTTTTTATTATTATAGCTTTGAAGTGAAAATTGAAATCAAGAATTTTAATGCATCTAGTGTCTCTTTTATTTAAGTTCAGGATTGTTTGTGCTGTCCTGAGGTCTTTGTGCTTCCACATGAATTTGAGAATAGTGTTTCAATTTCTATGAAGAATTTTGTTGAAATTTTAATGGGCATTGCATTGAATCTATATATGACTTTTGGCAGGATGGTCTTTTTCACAATATTAATTCTCCTAATCCATGAGCATGGGAAGTCCTTCCAACTTCTGATGTCGTCCTAAATCTCTTTCTTTAAAGACTTAAAATTTTTATTGTAGAGCACTTTAATGTCTTTAGTCAGGTTTTTTCTGAGATTTCTTTTGAAGATATTGTGAAAGGGAGTGTTTTCATGTATACTTTCTCTGATTGCTTGTTATTGGTATATAGAAAGGCTGCAGACTTTGTAGGTTAATTTTGTAACCTGCCAATTTACTGAATGTGTTAATAATTTCTAGGAGTTTTCTGGTGGAATTTTTGGCATCCCTTAGATATAATACCATATCATCTGCAAAAAAGGATAATTTGATCTCTTCTTTTCCAATTATTACTCCTTTAATTTCCTGCTCCTCTGTTATTGCTCTTGCAAGAATTTCAAGCACTATGTTAAAGAGAAGTAGAGACAGTGGACAGCTTTCTCTGGTTCCTGGTTTCAATGGGAATGCTTCCAGTTTTTCTCCATTTAGAATGATGTTGGCTGTGGGTTTGTTATATATGGCTTTAATTATGTTGAGGTATGTATGTTTCCTCCAGTCCAATTCTCTCTAGGACTTTGAACACAAATGCATGTTGAATTTTGTCAAAGACCTTCTCTGCACCTATTGAGATGACCATATGGTTCTTGTCTTTGAGCCCATTTATATGATTTATGACTTTTATTGACTTACGTATGTTGAACCATCTCTGCATCTCTGGGATAAAGGTGATTTGATCATGGTGGATGATTTTTTGATGCGTGTCTGTGTGCGGTTTGCAAGTATCTTGTTGAGAATTTTTGCATCTATGTTCATTAAGGATATGGGTCTATAGTTTGCTTTTTTGGTTGTATCTTCACCTGGCTTTGGTATTAGAGTGATGCTGGCTTCATAGAAGGAAGTTGGAAGTTCTCCCTCCATTTCTATTTTTTTGAATAAATTAAGTAGTATTAGATGCAGATCTTCTTTAAATAGCTGATAGGATTCTGCTGTAAATCCATCTGGTCCTGGGCTCTTTTTAGTTGGGAGATTTTGTATTACTGTTTCAATTTCCTTTTGTGTTATAGGACTGTTTAAGCTGTTAGTCTCTTCTTGGTTTAGTTTTGGTGGTTCCCATGCCTTTAGATATCTGTCCATTTCTTTTAGGTTTTCAAATTTAGTAGCATATAAGTTTTTAAAGTATTCCCTTATAATGTTTTGCATCTTTCTGGTGTCTGTTGTGATGTTTCCCCTTTCATCTCTGATTTTCTTGATCTGGAGGTGCTCTTTCTTTTGGTTAACTGGGCTAGTGGTCTGCCAATCTTGTTTATCTTTTCAAAGAACCAGCTCTTGCATTTGTTGATTTTTGTATTGTTTTCTTTGTTTCAATTTCATCAATGTCTGCCCCTATTTTTGTTATTTCTTCTTGTCTGCTGGGTTTGGCTTTCATTTGTTGTATCTTTTCAAATGTCTTGAGTTGCAATGTTAAGTCATTTATTTGTATTCTTTCCGATTTGTTTGATGTAGGCACTCAGAGCTATAAACTTCCCTCTATGGGACAGCGTTCAGTGTGTCCCAGAGGTTTTGTTGTGTTATATTATCCTTTTCATTTAGTTCCAGGAATACTGTTATTTATTTCTTAATTTCTCCTTTGACCCATTCATCATTCAGGAGTTTGTTTAATCTCCATGTGTTCATGTAGTTACTAGGGTTTCTTCTAGTGTTGATTTAAGCTTTACTCCTTAAATAAAATCATAGAATACATGGAATTATTTCAATCTTTTTGTATTTGTTGAGGTTTGTTTTGTGCCCCAGTACATGGTTGATTTTGAAGAAAGTTCCATGGAGCACTGAATAGAAAGTATATTCTTTGGTGCTTGGGTGGAATATTTGGTATATGTCTGTTGGGACCTTTTGATGTATCATATTTTTTAGTTTAGATATGTCTCTGTTAATTCTCTGTCCTATTGACCTATCTAATGGAGCAAATGGGTATTAAAGTCTCCTACTCTTAATGAGTTGGGACTAATAAGTGTCTTAAAGTCCTGTAATACTGTTTTTATGAAGTTGGGTGAACCAGAGTTTGGTGAATATATGTTCACGATTGTAATGTCTTCTTGGATTGTTCCTTTGATAAAAATGAAATAGCCCTCTTTTTCTTTTCTGATTAGTTTTAGTTTAAAGTCTGTTTGTTTGGTTTATTGTTCCTTTGAGCAGGATGAAGTGGTCTTCTTTGTCTCTTCTGATTAGTTTTCTTTTAAAGTCTATTTTATCAGATATTAGAATTGCAATGCCTGCTTTTTTCTTAGTACCATTCACTTGGTATATTTTTTTCTGTCCTTTTACCTTAAGATAGTGCCTGTCCTTGAAAGTGAGATGAGTTTCTTGCAGATAACAAAAAGATGGGTTGTGTTTCTTAATCCATTTACCTAGTCTGTATCTTTTGAGTGAGGAGTTCAGTCCATTAATATTTAAAGCTACAAATGAAAGATATGTATTGAATCCTGTCATTTTTATTTCTGTTCACATTCTTGATATAGCTGTACTTTTCCAGTTATACCTTCATTGAATTTCTTTCCACAACCTCTTGGGTATAGTCATTGCTTCCTTCAGCTCTTTGTATTGCATCCAGAACTCTCTGAAGGGCTCATTTTGTGGACATGAATTCCTTCAGCCTAGTTATGTCATGGAAGATTTTTCTTTCCCCTTCGACTATAATAAACATTTTGGCTGGGTATAGTAACCTGGGTTGGCATCTATGATCATGGTGATGGCTAATACTGGGTGCCAACTTGATTGGATCTTGGTTTAACTGAAATAAATGAGATCTTCTTGATTGGATCATTTAAAGCCACAAGATACACCCTAAATGTGGGTGTTACCTTCCAAGGCAGAGGAGAACACCAGGCTTCTTGCTGCTTGCCTTCTCTCTTGCTGGTGAGTTCGTCTTGCTGCTGTAGACAGAAGACTAGCTGATCTTTCGGAATTTGTCAGACTTTCAGCACCAGATTGGGACTACTGAGACATCCAGCCTTGTGGACTGAGTGACTATGGATTCTCAGCCTCTCCAGTGTGGTGCAGCCATTGTTGGACTACTCAGACTCTATCCTGTGAACTAATCTGAGATATGCATATGTATATCTATCTCTCTCTATATAGATATACATATATATATATAT